GCCACAAGACCAGATTTATTTTTCTCGGTGAACTTGGTGAGTAGGTATATGGAAAATCCAACTGAACAACACCTGCGTTGCCACCAAGAGGATTCTGAGATATATTAAGGGTACAACTGCGTATGGAATTCAATATAAGCCAGGAGGAGATCAAAGGCTTGTTGGATTTGTTGATAGTGATTATGCAGGAGATGTGGATGACAGAAAAAGCACCTCCAGTTACGTGTTTATGCTGGGAGGAGGAGCTGTTTCGTGGTCGTCAAAGAAACAACCTATAGTGACGTTATCAACCACTGAAGCTGAGTTCGTGGCTGCTGCATTTGGGGCGTGTCAAGCTGTGTGGTTGAGGAATGTGCTGGAGGAAATTGGTTCTGATCAAGGTGAAGGTACTGTGATATTTTGTGACAATAGCTCAACTATCAAGCTGACAAAAAACCCGGTGTTACATGGGAGAAGCAAACACATTCATGTGAGGTATCATTTTCTGCGTGAACTTGTGAATGATGGGACCATACAGCTTGATTACTGTTCAACCGGAGATCAGCTATCAGATGTTATGACTAAGGCAGTCAAACTCGAAGTGTTCGAAAAGCTCAGAGGTAGGATGGGAATCTGCAGCAAGAAGGAATAAACTGAAAGGAGGCACTTTCAGTTTAAGGGAGGGAATGAAGAATCAATTAGAGTCAATTGGTCAAGTTTGAATGTTTCAATCGTTTTGAATAAGTCTCCTGACTTGTAGGAGTCAATTTGTTTCAGTTGTTTAGTTCCTATTTTGTAGCTGCACGTTGTAAGGTCTATTTAAGAGTCAATCTCTTGAGAATAATGATATCGTGAAGCATTCAGTCAAACTTTGTTCCTCTGTTTTCAAAACTGAATAGCTTTACAAAGTAACAGAAATTAGGAAAAAAGAGATCAAGAGCTGTGTTGGGATTGGAGATTGCGACCACGACGAGCTTTAGTGTTGAAAAGTTTAATTTGGTAGATTTTTAGCTGTATTTCTGTATCTATGTATATAAAAACCGTTAAAAAGACTGTGAAGCGGGAGATTTGATTTCTTCATGGATTATACAAAATTTAATGAGAGAGAGAAAAAAAAAAAAGCTAAAATCCAGGTCACAATCTAGATCCACTTAAATTGATATGGTAACAAGAAGCTGAAAGAACCCGTACATAAAGTGGTTAAGTCAACCACATGAACCGATGACCTATTAATTACATAATCCCATTTCATACGGCATTAGTTGGACCAAAGAAAATGGATGAAACTTTGGTTGGTGCCAAGACTTGGAAAAATCCATAGCAAGACTTGCCAAGTCAAGCTCGTTACAGAGAATATGAATAGAAGCGTGTAAGCAGATCTTCTTTTGACTTCACCTCTTGCTAAATTCTATCAAGAAGCTTACAAAATAAATGATAGAAAAATAAGACACACACTTGTATCCAAGTAATGCCGTGAGAAAAGGGTTTATAATTAAATAAGGTCATGAGGTGAAGAAAGAGCAAAAGCCACTCGTCAAGTTTTATCTTCTTGCTTAGTAAAGTCTTCTGTGAACACTTTGTGTGGCCGACAAAGATTTGGCTTTTCTACGGTCATTCATACAAAATTTCCACAGATAATAATTGTATATATTCCCAAACCTTCTTAACTTACATTTTTGATTATACTAAATCATATTTACTGAAATTTATCTAGTTTGACCCAAATTTAAAGAAAAATAACTAGACTAACACTCAAATTCAAGAAAAAAAAAAACATTCCATATTTATCTATATAACTTAAACATGATTTTTCTAGAGATTTTGTTCAAGATTGATAACTGAGAAGCATAGACAATCACATAAACCATATTACAAAATGATGAGAACATTACAATTTACAACACCGACAATGTTTATTAAAACCACAAAATAGAAAATTACAAACGAAAAACACTTGACGAACAAGTTACCAGATTACAAACTTGACGAAATCGTCAAAAGATGAGCTTCACGAGCTATAAAACCACTCGTGCTTGTATGAAGTGAAGATGTGTCCAATCACTAATCCACAAAACACACCAGGTCCAAACGCTATCGCTGCTGCTATCCAGTTCAGCACTGGCTCTTCTGGTTCCAACAAAGATTCATCGGGCTGTTGCTGCGCTGTAGGAACAGGGACATGGTGTTTTCCACAAATTTCTTCGAGGCCATATAGTCCGTTGTTATCCATGAATGAAGAACAAGTTTGAGTTCCAAACTGTGTGCTCCTAGGCACCAATCCCTCAAGATGATTGTGGGAGAAGTTGATGTATGACAAAAACGAGAGATTCCCGAGACCTTGAGGAATTTCACCTGACAAGTTATTCCGTGATAGGTCCAGTATCTCGAGCTTTGTGATATTCGCCAAGGATGGTGGGATGTTGCCTGTGAATGTGTTGTCTGACAAGTTGAAGAAGCGCATTTCGCTCAATAGACCAATGGATGTAGGGATATGTCCGGATAATCGGTTTCCAGAAAAGTCGATGGCTTTGAAGTTTCTAAAGATCCGATCAAAATCCGTGTCTGCTCCATGGTACACCATATCCATCGAATAAGACGCAAGAAGTCCCATATAGTTACGCTCTGGAACGGTTTCCTTCCACACCAATGACATTACTCTCCAATTGGAAAAATAGTCTTGTGGCAATGATCCAACGAAGTTGTTATTGGATATGTCAATGATCTGCAGATTTGGAAACCCTACATAGGTCGAAGGGTTATAGACGGGACCATAGAATGCATTTGATCCGAGCATGAGAACATTTAAGTATTGCACAGATCCCAACCAAAATGGAAACGTGTCATTGATCTTGTTTCCTTTCACATTCAGAAATTCCAGAAACCAACAGTTGATCAAAGATTTTGGAAGTTTTCCCTTTAAATTGTTGTGGCTGACATCGAGTGACTCTAACTCAAAGCCATCAAAATCTGGTAGAAATCCACTTAAACTGTTGTTTCTGAGATTTAACATTCCAAGATGAGTTAAATTCTTCAAACATTGTGGAATGGAACCAGAGAAATGGTTGTTGGACAAATCCAAGTTAACTAAAGATCCGAACTTGCACATCCACTGGGGAAATGTTCCTTGGAGTGAATTTGACCCAAGATCCAACTGTTCTAACGTTGTTCCATCGATAATTTCCACTGGTTTACCGAAACCGGTGAAAGAATTATGAGAAAGCATTACATGCCCCGAACCCACCTGAGACGGTCTCCAGAAATGATGAGGTATTTGACCTTCAAACTTGTTATAGGAAAGATCAATGGAATTGAGGTTGACTAATTTAGATATTGATCTAGGAACTCTCCCTATGAAATTGTTATGGCTAAGATCTAAAGAATTGAGATGTCGTAGTTTCCATATAGATCTAGGGACTCTCCCTCTGAAATTGTTCTGGCTTAGATCTAAAGAATTGAGATTGTGTAATTTCCCTATAGATTCTGGAACTAGCCCATCAAAATTGTTGTCGCCAACAGTTAACACTCCAAGCTTAGATGATGAAGAGGTATTCCCAAAATCAAGAGTTCCCTCGAATTGGTTTTCATCTAAATGAATCTCGACTAACGAAGAAATCATGAGCAAGAATGAGGGAAACGAGGATTTGACGTGATTTGAGTTGAGGTCTATTTCGGACAAGTTGGTTAAATTGGCTAATACTACTAAACCACCAGTGAATTGATTTTCAAAGATTTCCAATTGAGAAAGCTTGGATAAGTTGGCAAATGAAGTAGGAATATTACCTCTAAGATCATTACACGAAAGATCCATGTATCCTAGTTGGTTTAGGTTACCGATTGAAGCCGGAACTTCACCAACTAATTGATTGAAAGAAAGATCAAGATATGTGAGATGAGAAAGATTTCCAATGGAAGAAGGAATCTCCCCTTGGAGACCTAAAGATGAAAGATCTAGGTGAAGAAGATTTTGGAGTTTAAAAAGACCACTGCTAGATTTCAAAGAGCTGTTGGTTGTAGAGGGGTCACCAAGTTTTAGTGATATCACCTCTCCGGAGATAGCATTACACTTCACACCCTTCCAAGAACAGCAGTCGACGCGCTTGTTCCATGAAATTGTTGGTACAGGAGCGCTGTTTCTGGAATGGATTGATAACTCTTCTTTTAGCTCTAAAAGAGCATCCCTTTGGTCGTTGCGGCACAAGGACTGTGTGGGAGAAGCAAAGGTGTTTATAAAAGGGTGACAAGAAACTAAGAAATAGATGGTAACACCAAACCAATAAGACTTGTTTCGACTCATGACAATTATTTTCTTTTGGAAACAAATACGTTTTGTTTGTTGAATGGTAAGTGATCGATATGTATTGCTTACTCACTTGTCTTTATAAAAGAAAAATTCTTGGCAATTCTTCTTCATATATATGAATTATTTTTTATTTAAAAAGAAGCAAAAATGAGTAAAATGGGAAAATAATTTTGTTTTTGTGGACACCAACCAAAGATTTAGAAAGACATTTATTGATCGGTTATCGAGTCATGTGGTTGAGACGGAGTCAGCGAACCCACTCTCCCCATTTATTTTGGGAATAAATTTCCACTCGACAAAACGTCTAAAGTCAGGGAGGATGTTGAAGAGACATATATGATGTTACATAACAATTGTAAGAATCCCTATTTTCTGCACCATGTTAACTTAAGTTACTTAATTAGATAAAACTATCACTCTTCGATCCTAGAGCCTACAGTTAGGCCATTAGGATACCCGTTCGAGTTTGGATTGGTTCTGTTCAGTTATGAGTAGTCTGTTTAAGGGATTCTAGGATCCATTCGAGTATTTTGGAATTTCGGTTCGAATTAAGTTTGGCTATTTGAATGGAGAGCTGAATTAATAAAATCGAATTTATTTTTGGTTCGGTTCGGATAAGGTATGTTTACCCGGAACACCTTAAATATCCATAAGAAAAACAACTATTTCAATTTAAATGAAAAAGTTGGCTCAATTTTGCAAAAGATTGTTTAAATTTGACAAAATACAACTCGTTTATATACAATTCTCTGATCAAGCTCTACACTAAAGTCGGTTACTTAAATGAAGCTGAAGCAATATACCGAAAGCTTCTTCAATCATGTAACGAGACATAGTATCCGGATGTAGATACATCAACAACCTGTATAGTGAAACATCAATGGTGAGAAAAATGGAAGCTATATTCGAAAGCATGAAACAGAGAAGAGAAGCAAACGAGTTCACCTTCGGGATGATGTTATGTATGTACAAGAAGAATGGAAGGTTCGAAGAAGCGACTCATATAGCAAAACAGATGAGAGAGATGAAGATTCGAACTGATCCGTTGAGTTACAACACGTTCTCGTTTTATACGCTTTAGACGGAAGATTCAAAGAAGCTGTTGAGACTTTCAAAGAGATGGTTTCATCCGGAATTCAACCCGATGACCCAACGTTCAAATCACTTGGAACCATTCTGATAAAACTCGGGATGTCAAAGAAAGCTGTTCGACGAAATTGAAGAATCAATTAGAGTCAATTGGTCAAGTTTGAATGTTTCAATCGTTTTGAATAAGTATCCTGACTTGTAGGAGTCAATTTGTTTCAGTTGTTTAGTTCCTATTTTGTAGCTGCACGTTGTAAGGTCTATTTAAGAGTCAATCTCTTGAGAATAATGATATCGTGAAGCATTCAGTCAAACTTTGTTCCTCTGTTTTCAAAACTGAATAGCTTTACAAAGTAACAAGTGGTATCAGAGCTTGTCACGAGCCTGGTACAAGAGAGAAATGAGTGAAAAAGATTCTGTGATTATCCCCAAGTTCGACGGAGACTATGAGCATTGGGCAATGCTCATGGAAAACTTGCTGAGATCCAAGGAGTGGTGGGATCTTATCGAGACAGGGATCAGTCAACCGGAACCGAACGTGATCCTGAATGGCGCACAAAGAACGGAGCGTGCAGAGAGGATCGTGAAGGATCACAAGGTGAAGAATTACTTGTTCGCATCAATCGACAAGACAATTCTCAAAACAATTCTGAAGAAGGAAACATCGAAGGAGCTGTGGGATTCGATGAAAAAGAAATATCAAGGCGATGACAGAGTCAAGAGTGCGCAGCTGCAGAGGCTGAGAAGAAGCTTCGAAGTTCTCGAGATGAGGGCAGGAGAGGTGATCGAACAATATGTCTCAAGAGTAATGGAGGTCACCAACGATATGAGAAACCTTGGAGAGGAGATGCCGGATTCCAAAGTGGTCGAGAAGATCTTGCGTACACTTACTGAAAAA